AAAACGAATCTGAAGTCCATTTTCGTGATTTCTGTAGAAATTGTATGTCTTTGTGGGGTAGGATCAATGCTGACTAGGTAGGACAGGCCACAGTGTGGTCCATGCTAACTTGGCCCCTGAGTTTTTTTGTCTTGACAATTTAATGTCAAAAGATGTACCTTAAAGAGATCTATGTCTGGTAAAAAAAGAAGTTTGGGACCGCTTGCACCACTCAAGAAAAGCCCAAAATACTGCTATCCCAGAATGTAGAATTTCTTGAGATTTCGAAGATTTTTGATCTATAGCGTTTCTTTTATCTCAGATATGAATCATCAAAATTGGATAAATTTGTAGCCTATACTGTTCCCTATCTAATGAGATGTGACCGATCTCAAACGGTCAAACTATTCATGAGAAAATGTCAAAATAGTGAGCACATCCATTTTTAGCGGATTTTTAGGGTCAAAATTGACCCCCTTACACTTGTTTTAGCTCCCATTTTTCATAGGTAAAACCAAATGACCTAATATTTTGGATTTAACTATAGATTGCCTAGACCTATCATTTAAGAAAATAAAATCGAAAAAAAAATTTTTTTCCCCGACGACTTCTATGGAGAGTAGGGTGGTCTTCTCGCGGACCCTCTCTTAAGACCTATCATTGTGCAACGTTTCAAGTCGAAATTCGAGGGTTTTCTAGTGTTTCTGAGGGAGACCACGGCATTCTGCTACAAAATACCGTAAAAATGCGGTATCTCAGCGCCAGAAGCTGTGGGTCCAAAGCCTTTTGAGGGTATTTATAACTCATTAGGGATTCCATGATGCACATAGTCTCGACTCAGAAGCGATTGATCAGTTCTGTGTGTTCTCTCGTAAGAAGGAAAGATCAATTCCTCATGAAACAAGTGTTGAAGGTCTTCATAAATATTTTAAACCATTGAATGAACTTTCTAATCAAATAATTTCATCATCATTAGAAATAAAATCAGCTCATATCAATGATATTTCAACAAATGATCCATCTGAATTGTCTTTCTCCCTCACCAGCACCTCATCATTAGTTAATAAAATATCATATTTTCATATCTATGAACAATGAAGAAATAGTTTTATATATTTCTTTCAAAAATATTTCTACTACAAATGCAAGAATGGTCACGTTTGAAGAACTGATGAGTAAAAATTGTATCAAATTTGTAATCTTTTTTTAAAATTCTTGTTTTATTTGGTCATGCTCTGAATTTATCTTTAGTGCTTTAGTTTTTGAATAAAAATATTCGAACAGATATTCTTAAAATAATCTTGCAATGTATTTCAGAAAAATAAATTAATACTACTTCAAGTGCGCTTTTTTAAGTATGCCCCCAATCTTTGGACGTTCGGGTCACCCCTGAGCCCATGGTTTATTATGGACTCGGAAGGTTTCAGCATTCATCGTTTTTTTTTCTTTGTCAAAAACAAACCATGAAACTGTTGGTTGAATAGAAGATGGATTAATTACTCACTGATTCCATCATTATCATTTCCTACAATTGAACAACGAGATAAATAATATAGCCGGCAAGAATCTTCCCATTGATAGCTTTAATCATGAAAAGAGCATTCGAAAGATTTCTATATTTACTTTCCTTTATTATAGATAGAATTTTGCTCTAATTTTTTGAATATACTGGAAAGCAAAACAAATCTTGACCATTAATGACTGTTGATCATGCAAAATTATTCGATCATTTGTAAGCCGTATTTTACCAGTAGCATAGTTGGGTCGAAAAATAGGCATACGATTCACCCCTATAACATATAATGTGAGAAATGACAGAAATATGAATAAGAGATTTTAAACCAAAACAAATGAAAAATCATTTCGAATCTGGTCAGTCTCGTTGTCAGCAATGAATTACTTTTTTCTCTTTCTCCTCTACTCTGCGACTATCAGCACGACTACAGCAACTGTTGAAGCTCGTTCCAATCAAGGTAACGTAACAAATGAAGTATTTGTCATTCGATCGAACAAGAACGAGCAATCATCATGAAGCTTTTGTTTGATGAAAAAGCTAATAAATGTGTTTCTGCATAACTCTTTATCATTACTACAGTGCAATACAAATAGTGACAAACAACGATCTCAATGTTCTTTCCAACAGAGATAATTATCTGCGTAGAACCACGGCGTTGCTGTTAAGTCGCCAAAAACAATACATTGCATGCCGCTCACTTTTCCGCCGAATGACCAAACAATCTCGACAGATGAGTCACCTGGCCAGCACAGCTCATTATCGGCCCAAGCAGGATCTTGTGGCTCCGAGAGTATAACACACTTATTACCGTTCCAAAGATGAAAATTTTTCCCATTATTATTCCAAATGAGACCAATTGGTTTGTTTGTGCACAGATAGTTGTCTAACCAGTCATAGTGACTCGTCTCGTCGACTAATATGCAGTGCCATCCATCGATTGGACCATGAAGACCAAAACGAAACAAGAGTGGTACGAAGTCAGGTTGTGTTTGTGCCACCGTGAGTATAAGCACAGACCCAACAGCCATTAGAAAGGTGACGATAGCGGGTGACATAAACATGGCTTTACTTGATTAAAATACAACGTTCTCGCGTGCTTTACTCATATATACTCTCAGCTGCCCATTCGATGTGAATGCTAGCCAGCTGTTCGGTTATCTTTTCAATTGCAATTGATAATTGCTTGTTGTGCAAGAAATAAAATTGGCCTACCGGTTCTTGATGCTTGCTTTATTTATTTATGATGCAGGATTGGCATCCTAAGGTGTGCATGATTCAAAAACCGAACAAAAACTTTGTATGCGACATTCATAGATGGTTCGGTAGTGGTCGTTGCACTCTAGTGCATGTTCTCAACGTAAGAAAGGAATCTAGTGGTAGAGCGAGAACTCGTCAAGCATTGTTTTATTCAAAACTATACAACTAAGCGTCAGCATAAAAAGAACAGTTTTACGAACAGTAGCTGATTTGTAGCAATAGGTTTTTTAGAGCCTATTCAGATGCAGGAGATTTCGACCTTGAAGTTCAAGTTCGAATTCCAAACGATAGTACAATATACTTAGGGTTAACCAAAACTTTGTAACTCGATATAACTCAGCCGTACAGTAAGCTTTAAGAAACTTTCTATATGGTCTGATAGAGAAACTATCAATTGATGCAGTAGAAATTGTTGGAAGTTCTACCTTATTACTTCGTTTTTATTTTACAAAATTCGATAAATAAAGTATCGAATAGAAACCAGTCTAACCCATGCCCTGAAAATCGCCACGAAATCGACGATTTAATCGCGATATATTGATCCGATTAATCGTGCGATTATATCGCGATATTATCGCAAATTTGGCGATTTTTTACAACAAATTTCAAATTCATCAAAAACCATCCAGCTTTGAGAAAATTAGTAGATGCAGTCAGATTCCTCATGAAACAACCTTTTTGAGCTTGTTGTCGTCTTGATTCTTGTTTGCAAAAAAGAACCAAATTGACAGCAAACAAAATAAATTGTAAAAGAAGAGCGAAAAACGGGTATTAGTAATTTCTGCAAACACCACAAACACCCAACTTTGTAAGATAGCATAAAAGTTGTATTTACTAACACCCACACCTTGACGAGTCATGCTCACTAACACCTACTAACACCCACTTTGTATGACTCCTAGAAAAAATATATCTTTATCAAAGACAATAAAATGACCCCCATCCCTAATAACACCCAGAATCTCACTTATATCCGACACAAACACCCAACATTGTATTTACTAACACCCACAAAACTCCATATTCTACATTCTGACCTCAATAAGTATCATTCCCGAGAGACTTTTTCTAACAAACTTTTTCTCAGAAACATATGAAATTGATCCAAAATGCCTGTAGATATCCACTAACGTCCAGAAGGCCTTTGTTAGCAAGTCAATAGCATACAACTTGTTATCACTAACATTCACAAAAACATCTAATCTATTTTTTGATACATAATTGTGAAATATTAGGTATATTTATCTTGAAAATACCTTAAAATATGAAAAAAAAGTTTAAAACTTACCAACAATGCATAAAAAAAGAAAAAAATATCTAAAAATATTTTATGTAACATGCGTTTGAATTATTTAAACAATTTGATATGCTCAAATTGCATACACTAAAATCATGAGAAAAGTTTAATTTAATCTCTGGAATACACTTCGAAATACTTTCTTATCCATTTTACTCTAAAAACACTTGAAAATCATGAAAACATCTAAAATTATTACTAAAATCTGGTAAAAAATTTATTGACATTTGGCCAAACAGCCAATTTATATTCACCGACATTAGTAAAAAATATAGACTTCTGCTAATATGTAAAAATACGAAATAAAAATTAGTTTCAGATACAATTCTCTCTTGTAAACGAGTAAAAGTGAGTAAAAACACTCAAAAACATCTACCATGATCACATTGAGGGTGTCGATGTGGATGTGGATGTGGATGTGGGTGTGAGTGTAGGTGTGGATGTGGGTGTAGGTGTGGGTGGGTGTGGGTTTGGGTTTGGATGTGGGTGTGGCTGGGTGTGGGTTTGGGTTTGGGTTTGGGTGTGGCTGGGTGTGGGTGTGGCTGGGTGTGGGTGTGGGTGTAGGTCTGGGGTGTGGGTGGGTGTGGGCGTGGGTGCGGGTGTGGGTGAATAGTAGATCACTACTGTCATCCACACCCACACCCGCACCCACACCCACACCCACACCCACACCCACCCACACCCACACCCTTTAGCATATCTGAGACAAAGTCTTGTTTCTGTAAAAAGGAAGAATTTTGTGCGAAATATTTTAAAAGCTCCATTGTAGTTTTCTCAGCACAAGAAGGCATAGAAGTCAAATCAATTTGAAGATTTTCAAGATATACTCGTTGTTGAATATTCTCATTTATCACTAGATTAGGTAAAATTTCAGCTGAATGAAGTGTATGCGACTCATTATCTTGATTTGATTCAGAGTTATTCGAACTTAACTTAGCTATTTCATCAACAAGATTTTGTATATCTTCGAGTTTACCCAAATGATCAGTTTCCTTTACTGCCTCTTCCAGCCTATCCTCATCTTGAAATCCTTGAATTCGTTGTTTTATTTTCTGTATTTTTTCTATTAATACTTTTTCATCTTGAATTTTCATTTTTGCGAAACTTTTGCTCAGTTTTTGTTTTAACTGAAGAAGTTCAGACTGTTGATCGTTTTTATTACTAGATTCTGCAGATTTTAATCGAGATATTTTATCGACAAGGTTTTGCAATTGTTGGAGTTTTCTTAAATATTCTTTTTCATTGTTCGCCTCTTCTATTCTTTCCTCTTCTTCATACTCTTTTATTCGGTTTTGTATTCTCTGTATTCTTTGTGGTAAGACATTAATATCTCGAATTTTTAGTTCTTTAAGACCATTATTTAATTGTTGTTCTAAGTCTTCGAGTGTATGTTCATTATCTTGATTTGGAATGGATTGATTAATCATCGTAAATGACTGATCATTTTCGATAGTTGATAATAAACTATTAAGATTTAATTTCAATGCAATTTTGAAATCATTATCATTGATCCAGTCGATTTTTTGAAGAATAATGGATGGATAAATCTTATTAATTTGTATTTGTAATTGATTTGCTATTGAATTCGATTCAATAAATGAACTAGTGTATTTGGCTCGAAGAATATGCCCATTTTCTTGAAATTCCATTAAAATGATAAGACATTGTGAAGTTTGCAAAAGATATGGAATGATGATAGTACGTTTTCCGAAATGTTCTTGGCATTCTTCACGTAATTTTTGTTCCAATTGACTTGAATTATTCTCATCAACACTATCGAGTAAATAAATGGGTTTGAAAAACGATCCTGAATTTTGTCGAGCGATTTGTTCGAGTTGATTTAATAAAACTTCTCGGATAGTGCTATGTTGATATTGAATATTGGCTGTATTGTCTGCATATGCCATTAATGACGCGGCGTAAAGAATTTGTCACAATAATAGACACAATGAAAATGGTTGATTTAAAAAGAAACACTTTGTGATTCAGTATTTATCTTATCTATGGAAGTCTCCAACAAACTCATAAAATGGGCAAAAAACCAACTTGTTCTGTTCTACTGTTGATGTTATCGCTTATTCGCGATGACGCATACTGTTGCTTCCACATTAGACTTTAACTATTGATGTCCACAGACTTTCGACGAGTAAATCACGTAGAAAAGATCTACCAATGTTATTTCCAACCATTTTTTTACGCGTCAAATTCCTTTTACTTGACAATGATAAAATTAGTATCATGGTTTCTGTCGTAAACATCACTCTTCTATCTGCAGTCCAAAGTACACGAGTAAATAACACAGGCATAGAACTCTCCCTTTTTTCCTCTTGGCAGCAATCCATAGTTTTAGTATTTAATCGATTAAAATAAATACAAATATCACTTGGCCTGTCGTAGGCACCTAGTGGCCTGTCGAACTAGGCCAGGTCAGGCTAAGAAACCAGACAGGTTACTTCCGTCTGAATCCAGGCAGGCCAAACCGAAAAAAAGTAGCCTGTCGACAGCTCTAGTCTAAAACTTTTTTTAGAGAGTACTCGTATACACTATAATATTGCTTTTAGATTGGGATACATTGAGATTATATGCAGTATACGTGACAAGATGATAAATCTCTGGAATGAAACAGAATTTTATTATATGACTTAAACTGTTTTTTTGAGCATGCATTCAAAGTTTGTCTGTTTGTCAGCTGTCTTTAGGCTATATACGCTCGTGAGAATTGTTATAAACGGTGAAGGCTTTGATTTTATATGCTTTGTTGATGAAAATTTTCTGTATTAAAAAAAATTGTGATATCATGCTAAAAAGTGTTTTCAGTTATGAAACACGGGTGTGCATGTAGATAAGACTTGTTATCGATAGTAGCAGAAAAATAAATAGAAGAGACTGTATTAGTTACATTTACATCATTGCAAATCGCTGTGTCTAGTAGTCGAGCATCTTTTAAAAGGGAGTACTTGCTAACTCATTATATTAAGAAACTTTAGAAAAAATTAAGATAATCGGACGATATAATTTATTGATGTCTACAAAAGTGTTCTTTCCAATTTAATTTTCATATTACTCAATGGAGGAGTCGCCTTAGGTTATACCTTCTGTTTTAAGTCATTAGCCAAAAGACGAAAATAAATTGTCTCCATCAATCTTTAAAGCCGATTTTTGACCATTGGACTGAATTTTGAGGCAATTTTACTATGTGTCTTGCGAAAACGCACATCCGTTCTTCAATCTGACATTTTACTCATATGCAGCTCTAATCATTCTCAGAATAACTTGATGATTTTAGATAAAAAACCTGTTCCGTTGTTGAGATATGGAATCGTCAAATTAACATAATCTCTTAGTTAAGTCCGTGTGAAAAATGACTATTTTATGAGAATCTGGAAATTTCAACAACGGAACATTGGTTTTCAGTGAAGTTTTTAGGATATTTTAAAGATACCAAACCACTTATGGAGAAACTTTCGGGTAGAAAATTGAATGTTTGATTACAGAGCAAATACTGTACATGTGATCAAAAACTCAGTAAAACGGCTATTACTCGATACGTTTGATGAGTGCACAAAGATTCATCTATGAGCGAAATATGAGTTTAAACGACAGTGCCCCAACCAGCGGTTTCCTTTTGAGAGACTTACGTTTTTTCGTCCGTTGAAGTATTTTTTTCTGTTGATTGTTAAAATTTTAAGGATTAGATACGAACTCATGGACAGGAGATTATGATGAACTGATGCTGTAATTCTCAGTGGTAAATTTCGGGAGAGCATTGAAGCTCAAACTCGATTTTCCGAGAACATTAGCTTATTTATTGACTTGAATGATATCCTCAGGAATCGCAAAATCCGAATCTATAGACAATTCGGCAAAAATCTCATATTTGACTTTTTCAATTCGTCTAAGCTAATTTCGACGACTGTAACTACAATTTATAACGCTAGGCCAAATAGGATGTATTCAAGTTCAATCATTAAAGCATTGCACTTAAAAACTTTCAACCAATCATCTTAAATAGAAAGGTCTTTAACTTGCAAACTCTTATCTAATTTCTGTGAACACCCGTTATTTTAAAACACAGCTTTTTCTTAATCGATAGAGATTTACTTGCAACGACAGTATCATCAGTCAATTCAACTCTGCATATATCTGCGAATTAAGTAGCAGAACTCTATCGTTCTGTGAACTAGAATACCTCCAGAATTATTTTTCAACAACAAAGTGTTGTTTAGTTTTAGTCTTTCTTCACAACTACTATTATGCCAGGACACGAAGGTATGTATATAATATGCATCATGCAGTCCTTTTTGAGTTATATACAATTTTAATTTAATTTTCATCTTTGCGTTCTTACATTAGGTATCGTCTGCGACGGTTGCGATGCCAGAAATTTTGTCGATCTACGGTATTGCTGCAAAATATGTGACAATTATGACTTATGCAACACATGTTATGACAATGGCAAAGAAAGTTTACAACATTCAAAATCACACCCAATGACATGCATATCACACCTATCATTCCTTAGAGTGAGTACTGAATACGTATGTGTAGTGCCCTTTTCTTATAGCTGTGAATAATTAATTATGAAATTAACTGAGCGGCACAATTTTCAAAGGAATTCATCGTGCCTTGAAAACTGCAAAACTGATCCCACACTAAAAGAATGTCGGACGTTGAAACCTTTGTGCATAAAAGCCTTTCAATTCAGATAATCAGACAACTTTTCGAGACACTTATAGACGAATGCGAGAGAATAGTAATTAATCCTGACACAGTCACTTTTATTTTAGTCTAGTTATCTAATAATTCTATGATAAATATATAACAGAGTATGTTTGATGACTGAGGGAATATCCCAAGCATGTTTTCATGTACATCATGAATTCACATGAAATCTGCGAAAAGACTGTCACATTCTAGCATCAATTATAAGACCTTGTGAGGTTATATAAGACTTGAGATGTTTAAATGGAAAATTTTCAATATAATAGCTTAGAAACCTTTTATTATACGCCCTCCTCCAAGAATTATTAAGATCGATTTCTAATAACGAACTTTACTTTACGAAAAAAACCTTTCTCAGTCGAACATATATATATTGGTCTTAAATGTTCAAAGCTTTTTGGTTTCTTAATTTAACTAGAGGTTGCTTCCTTGCATAAATGTTCAAGCCGATGAAGTTACAATGTCGGATGATCGAATAAATGAAACTGAATACTTGTCTATTTTACTTGATTATTGTCTACAACGCTTTCTTACCGGACCTACATTTTGTCATCACATCAACACTTTTCATTTCAAAGAAGTATTTGCCGATGCACTACATTGGACAAATGGTTTCGAAGCCAAGTTATCTGGTAGTCGCCTAACTGGTCTATTTGAACAATATTTGGTCAAATTAAAAAACGAATGTAAGTCGATATTAACGTAACATCCAAGTATCATTTTGTTTTCTGCTCATGTCTGCGTGTTAATTAGCATCGATCATCTGAAAAGAAAATGTATTTCTTAGCATCTCAACATAGGAGCATAAGCAAAGCAGAATTTGCTCTTTCTTTTCCCTTTGACAAGATTAAGTCTTGTGATGTTAAAATACACATATTCTAATGAGACCATCGAGCTTTGAAATCAACTGTACAGCAGTAAAAAGCAACAAATGCTTGAAGTCTATAGTTAACCATGAATTTAGCATAGCCGTAATATTTTCTTTACTATAGACGTATCAGTGGTTGGTGGTGATACAGATATTATGTTCGAGCCACAAGATACTTTTGTATCGGACCTAGATATTGGTTTATCATCACAGATTGGCTTTCTTGAAAAAACACAATATCCGGGTTTTTATTACATAGAGTATAATCCAAAAACAAAATATGATTCAACATTACGATATCTAGATATTTTTGAAGAAAAAAATAATAAACAATACCTATCTAGTAAAAAACTAGTAGATTTACTACATACTGAGTTTTCAAAATATACTACACATGGTCCATTGTCCATAGAACTGCATGGACCGGCCATTTCAGCTACTTTAAGTGATGGAACAACACTCCAAGATTTTGTTTTCTCATTACCAATGTTAAAAATACCTTATCATGTGCGCGAACAATGGTCTAATCGATCGAAACAATGGCCATCTGGAGACGTTGTCGAAACGGTATCAGGTTCTATATGCCATTTAGTGCCTAAACGTTGGAGTGAAACAAACGAAGGTGACGAAGACACACTAACATGGCGTTTATCGTTAAGTTTCGCTGAAGTATTATTAACAAATTCATGGGATAGAAAACACAAAGATTATTATTTATTATTAAAATCATTTATTCAAGAATTAGCACCAGGTATGTTATACTCGGTAATATCACATATGTTTTATAACGAAGCAAAATTCATAATACCTATTGACGTTGAAATGTTGAGACATGTATAGTGGTTACAATATTGAAAATCTGATAGAAGCAGACGTGTTTAAGAAAATAAGGACTTACATTTCTATTTTTTCTACCTAGACATATTATCATCCCATCATATTAAAACATTTATGTTTACATACATGGAAAACAATTACCGCATTATGAAACAAACAGAAAATGAAATCGAAACGTTTTTAGATATTATTCAACAATTATCCATTACTTTAAAATCTAAAACAATGTCAAATTATTTCATACCTGAAATTGATATGTTGCAGTTGATACCTGAAGAAAAGTGCTTATATTTAGCTGAAAAATGAAAACAATTGTATGAAAAACCTGTTCAAACGATACGACAGATGCACAAAAGTTTTCAAGATTTCATGTTTTGGTCTTGTGTGAGATTACCTTTAGCAGATGATTATTCGAAAATCAAGATTTATACATGGTATTTGAGATCATCACTTTGTCTAGCTTTAAGAGATAGTGAACACCTTCGACTACAACGTCTAGAACATGTTGTGCGAATGTCAAATATGTATTTTCCGTCGTCACTATCCGTTGATAACATATCTAATGCAGAAGAATTATTGTTCATATGGTTGGATATAGTAATTACATCAGAATTACGAGAAAATTTCCCAAACTGTTTTGAACAGAAACAACAACAGGAAATATCACAGTATTCTAATAAAATTCCAATTTGGTTACGATTCTATTCGGCACCAACTGGATTTGTATTCGAAGTGTTATATATGCCTATTGATGAATCAATCGACGAAATGGTTGACAATGAGATACTCAGTATGAAGGCAGCTGAAGTTGGTATCGAAGAAGAGGAAGACGATGTAGATTCAGGTAATTTCTAAATTGTTTATTTTGAAGGATTATTCGATTGTAATAATTAACAACTGAAATGAGATTGCCTGTAAAGTTGGGGGATTATACAACTAAGTAAAAGTTTTAACACTGAGAAAAAAATTGAAACACATTTTCTTTACTATGCAGCATCGACATTATTTTTTTACTATTAGCATATGATACTAACCCCATAAAATTTATTTATACTTAAAATCGATATATAATGGCACTTCGTTGCGTTCGTAGTATATTTAAAAATATCAACAGTGTACTGATGAATTAACGATTAATTCCATTCTTTCTCTCCATAGACGATGCTGTTGAAATTCCATTATTAAAGTCAAATGGTACAGCAACAAATATAAATGATTACTTTTATATACCAATACTGAAAACGCGATTTCGAGAAATTTTCGAATTTTTGCTTAAAATTGTTTGTACACCACTACTGGATTTACCGTCGTGTCAAGATCTTCAATATCTTATCGATCGATTCCATTCTTTAGGTATTAAACATGAGTTAATAGGAAATGCATTTTACCAAGCAGCATTACATAGATGTTCTGATATCTGTACATTAAAATCTAATATACATGCATTAGAAAAAAACGATCCAATCTGCGTAAATGTACCCAAAGAAGAAAAAGATATCATGAAAAGACGTACTGATGTATGGTGTGAACAAATGAAAAATTTATTTCATGCCGCCTCGCAACTGATCCCAGCGCAAGCATGGAAAATTCATGTACATATGGGCTATACATTTTATTTTCTATTCGGCCGCTATGATGAAGCTATTGACGTAATGAAAACAAATATAGAACTTTATAATACAAACAGGTAAGTTTGATCAATACTCCTCGGAAACTAGATTTCACCATATTGTTAGTAATGAGAAATAATGTTGGTTCTAGCAACCTTCATAATGCGAATATTCTACTTTTGTCCATAATTAGACCAATTATCTTCGCTTGAAGCATGATGATAACACTAATCACACTAGCCCAAAGAATAAATTATGCGTCAATCTGAGTCTTCAAATTTGCATTTTTATTCCAAAGTAGTGGCGTAGGTGACCGGTCATTTCGTCCCGTTACTTTCTGTCCCATACAACTCTTTAGGATGAGGGTAAAGTGTAGGATGCATGTAGGTAAGGATGGATGAGGATTTGGGACGAATTGTATAGGACAAAAGTTACGGGACGAAATGATAGAGTACCCAATGATTGATGATCGCTTGAGTCATCTTTGTTTATTTAATTGAAGTTGATTTTGAGTAACTTATTGATAAACTTGCAGATGTTCATAAAAATAGTCGGATTATATTGAAAGAAAAAGTTATGTCTTTTTTTTATCTTCAGAACATTTTGTTTACATATGAATATGAATGAGCTGAACACTCATCAAATCTAATAGCTTCCTCATGTTCTTCTAAATGTACTTTAATTATGCGCTTAAAAGGTTAATAATATCTGTTTTCTTAACATATAGGAATCAGCTTATATTGGAGACTGAGCCCCGCCACCCTCAATTTTCGGCTTACGCCACTATTTCAAAATAATCAAAATACACGCTATAATTTGAATCAGATATTTATATACCAAAGTATTTCCCACTTAGAAAAGATTGATAATATTGGAATTTATGTAAGATGCGCAAAGCATATGCTAAGACTATCCGTTAGATCGTGTTGTTGAAGTACAACGGAAGAGTAGTAGCTCAATCATATATGATATTGGCCATAAGGCATCAAGTACAGATCACAGTTGCTACAAAAAAAATATAAAAAAACGCAAAAAAAATACTTATTCAATATATTACTGATGCAAACATTCTTTATGTTTCAGGAGTAGAAGTAATCGACCAGCATTGTCAACCATAGATTTTATTCACGGTTCTAGCAAATGTCCAATATTGTTATATTTATACAGAAAGTTGGAGAAACCTGATTTGTCTATTCCAACAGTTGTTCTTGCTTACTACACATTACTTCAATCCTTTCGTATGACTGGACAATGGGATAAGGGGCGAGAATATATTGAACAATTTGAGCAAACGTGTGCAGAATTAGAAATTCACTTTGGTGGAGAAATCGACATGATAGTTGTTAAAATATTACTAGCTACAGGTTACTATTGTTTAGCTTTACTAGAAGAAGCAACCGATTTACTAATACAATTAGAGAAAATGGATTCTGACTCAGGTGATGAATTAATGTCATTGTGTGGTGTCCAATGTTTTTTGCTTCCGTCAAACATTCAGTATCCACCAGATCGTGGTTTAACACTTGAATTACCGTATGCATTATCCGAATGTGGCGGTGAAAACGAAAAAATTTATGTTAAACCAGAATTAATTAAGAATTTCCCCAACCTGCTTTATGTTCGCCATGGTCACGATTGCTACAAAATGCAGTCATGGTTAGTTGGTAGTAGCACAATTTTGGTTGAATTAGAAAAATGGATGAACCGTGTTCAAGATATAAACTTCCCTCTTGCTCAACAAGAAAGAAATTGACGATTTCTATCCACTGATAATTTCTTGTGTAAAAAATGCAAGAAATTTTATTACATGTCTAAACATACATAACTAATTTTTTTTTTTTTACGTAATTCATCATTAATCAATAAGTACTCATATGGAAAAACTAATTATACTAATCGACTCTTTGGCATAAAAACCCTTTTTCTTCAATTATAAACTTTTCACCTTTGAACTTTAACCTGACACAAAAACACAAACTCCTTTCTTCAATCGAGGAAATATCAAAAGACTACCGACCTAAAATAGCTCTTCACGATAAATAATGAATAAAACCAGGTTCCTTTCACTCCTGTGAGAAAAATGGAAAAAATATGTTCCTTCGATCGTAGGAGTCAAGCAAACATCATATAGCTGTAGACTGCAGCGGCCGAACATTTACTCGTAGGTATTCTAGTTTTATTGAAATAAGATATCATCGACACAAATATTTAGTCAAGAAAAACAAGTTCATTTTTAAATTTTGTATACTCCATTTCGTTACTCATTTCCGACGAGTTCAAGTTCAATTATTCAACGAGTGTCCCCTTTGGAAATATTCAAAATTTTTAGTCGAGACGCAATTGATAATATTGCTTCCATCTCGTTTGGAAAAAGACTCCATTTCCATATGTTTGCAATATTTAATCGATTATTTTTTGTTGTGTTCAATATGATGAGTGTATTACCGCCAAAAGCCAAATTTTTTTCGGTCGTAAATGATGAAAATGAAGTTGTGTAGTAGGATTTACCAATCAACTGTTTGAAATAGTTGATTTCAATGTCTGATAAATTGAGTCCTCGATAATAAACACTTCGCAGATCTGACTGATACAGGCCACGTATAATTTATCGAAGTTTATTAGTATAATTCCAATCGATGTCATAATCTGATAACAAATTCAAATTTGTTTTCAAGTAATGCATACCGGTATACTGTTTGATGACAGATGACATTTCTTCGGTCAATTTATCTTCTTTGATATAAATTGAATAAACTTGTTTCAAGTGTTCTTTGTACGGATTTGTTTCCAAGAGTTTAAAACTTAATTCTTTTCGAGCATAATCAAAATAGTAGCCAGAACTTTCATGATTCATAGAAGTAGATACAAGAAGGAGAGGCAAGAAACGTTTCGTCTTGTCGTTGACTTCAGCAGAGTGACATTCTAAATGAGAGATAAATTGACTTAATCCAAGCAATATAATGAACACAAAAGCAGGATCGAAATACTCTGAACTCAAACGTGTAAACTGTAAAAAATGAAAAACGGAATATGGTTGGGTGGGTGGGTGGGTGTGGGTGTGAGGTG